GTGGCTTGTGTCCGGTGCAGGATTCACTCATCATTCCCGTGAAACCAAAGCGACCGTGATAAACGGCTGTACCGGAAGGGATACCGTAATTTAATTTCTGTAACCCGATCTTCACGTTCTATCTACACCTACAGTGAACACCTCGAATCTTCTTCATCCCTCTTATTTTTCTCTCCGTTCTGGATACATTCGTGCGATACATTTCCATCACGCATATTCCCCTTGTTCGCAATCGTGTTTGCACGGTGATCGGTCGGGTGTTTATGTGTTTCTCATGGACAATGCCTCGGGGACTTCTATTTTCCGTAAGTCTCATCGCACTCACGTGATCTGAATCTCAATTACTCGAATTACTCTATCCACTCGACAAATGTTTTCCTCCACCCATATACGAATATATCATCATTCCTGGATATTAATTCTCCTTCATCGCAGACTTTCGTTATTAATTGCAACCCTATTGAGGTCAATGAACTCCCTTCTGATGGTAACAGAGATTTGTTTTAATTCGGTGGAGAGGATGAGAAAGATTGACGTTTACTGTTAATAGCTCATAATGTTAAAATTTTTGTTTAAAAAGGTTCAGAGATAAAGTCATATGAATTTTCAATCATGTGTATCGAGTGAATTCAATTTCAATTGAAAGCGGTCAGGAAATTTCTTATTAATTTTGAAAAGTGAAGACCATTTCCATGAGAGTTTGAATTTAATGCGCATTGTACAAATTCCACAAGTTAATTTTTATGGCACCCCGAGGCTTGAATTTTCTTTTTGTTGTTATTAATTACAGTCCAGTGTGGCCCATCGACTGACGTTAAATATAATTTATGTTCAGTTAAATTCACAAAATGAATGAAAGCAACATGTCACGAATAAATATTTCTCGGATGTTGACCATCTTTATATTTACGTCCAGGTTTAATATCTGCTTTTACCGGGGTCAGAGTTGACGGGTGTTCCAGTTGCATGACTGCACTTTATAATAGCAAAGCCCTGAGTAAAATATCTCGTTGTATATCTGCAGGTGTACACTGTATGCATGGGTCAGTGCATATATATGACTTATGTTCGAGTGGAAGGATTATCAGTGTAACTCTCGGTTACCGTTAACCAAGAGTGTGTACAACTCGAAAGAGGCGGTGGTAGGACAACATTCCGAGGCCTCGAGCCTCCATTTGAATTTAACACGCCCTCCCTATATACTTTATAATACGAGTAAATGCCATCGATTACTGAGTAACGGTAAGCTCTTGAAAATATCTAGTTGAATTTTTCAATGCGCCAAACCCCATTCGAGAATTGATTTTCAGTCTTGAAAAAAGCACGGAAGAATTTATTAAGATTTTTCATGAAATATTCGACCTTCAATGTAATATTTTCTGCAATGCAAAATTTATTAAATTTTTATGTAAATTAAATTTTTTATTTCTCCTGATTTCGACAAGATAAGATATGAAATATCAGTCTATAATATTCTGTAATATATTACACCGAATTTTCAGTGAATTAAAAAACCAATAACATGTACGAGCTTTAATTTTCCTGGTGTCTACGAGAACTATCCATTAACTATATAACTAATTAATCATTAATCAGTTAATAGCAGAAATAGAACTGAGAGCACAGGATAATCACGTGATATCAATAACCATGGTGGAAGTGAGGGAAATACGGTAGGAGTTTCTCAAAAAAAAAATGAAAGAAAAAACGCGAACTGAGTCAGAGAGAAAAGAATGACCAAAAAGGTGTGACGCTTGACAAGAGAAATGTTGAAAAAGGTGGAACAAGAGGAAAAAGTAAAAAGAAAACTATCAAAGATAGAGGAAGTGAGAGCCAACGGGAGTTTTCATCGTTGAACCCGGCAAATTCGTTCCACATTCTTGCCACAGCACCTTTCTCACTGCTTCCACCATGTTCTAACCCATAAGGCTTTTGCGCAAAAGTTAATCGCTCGCTTTGTGCCCACTCCATCATTTATATATTGTTTTATACCCTTTTGTACTTTGGTAGGTCTTCGGCGGATCGATGTGGCTCTGTAAACGTTTAATTTTGTGCAACCGATAATTTAGCAGCTGAATACCCTGCTTCCTCTAGCTTTTCCTATTTTTCCTGTATCACCATTGCACTGTATGCCTTTTAACACCCATAGATGATCGTAAAACTTGCACGATCTATCTGCGGTTCTCTAAAGTCGACAGACCGGTTCTTACCACCAATCATTGTCTCATGTCATTTATCGTTATATTGATATAGATACAAGTATACCAGTTTTCAATTTTTTTATATCAACTTCTAGATTTTTTTCAGTCACTGACTGTGGGTTGCGTATCGGTGAAATTATTACTGCGCTCGAGTTACTCGTTATGGCCAGTTGGAAAAATCATGTTTAGTTTGGTAATTATTGTGTTTTTTTTTCGGTATATTGCACACAGAGAATGGGTTATCACTGGGTGATAAATCTATTCGACCCAACACAATATGTGTATTAATTATCATCAGCTATTTTGTTAATGCGGACATGTCTTTTTGTTCGTATATGTATAATATGTAATCAAAGCAAATCGATAACGAGGAATTAAATAATTAGATTAGGGATTTCAGGGATTTGAATAGTATCAGTGATTCTGTAGGAGAGCATAATGCATTGTTATTGGCACTATCAGGGGGTAATTGGCTACATTTTGTGGATTGTTTTGGTATAGAAGCAAACACGGATAACCTTTTGACTGGCCATTAAATTACGGCCTCTGGGAAGTAAATTCTTCATTTGCGCATTTTCTTTGTCTCTATCTCATCTTCCTTCGACCCTTCGATTTCTATTCGAAGA